GCTGACTTGAATAACTATAGACCAATATCTAACTTACCACTGCTCTCTAAAATCTTTGAAAAATTAATTCATAGACGGATCTATTCCTACCTCGTCTCACACAACATATTAAACCCTTGTCAGTTTGGATTCAGGAATAATAAAAGCAAAAAGATGCTATCATACACATGCTAGAACTAATATATACCGCACTCGAAAAGAAAGAAGTCCTGCTGGGCATTTTCATTGATTTACGTAAAGCTTTCAATACAATCGACCATGAACTGCTGTACTCCAAACTAATGCACTATGGTATCAGAGGCCACTCCCTCAACTACCTAAAATCATACCTTAGTAACCAAAGTCAATAAGTGTATGCAAATGATGCAAACTCTTCCACCCAACCAATCACAGTAGGAGTCCCACAAGGAAGCGTCCTCGGCCCACTCCTCTTTCTCATCTACATCAATGATCTACCGAATGCATCAAAGCTACTCAAACCCATATTATTTGCAGATGACACTACATATGTCTTTTCCCACCCAAACACAGTCATACTAGCAAACACAGTCAATGCCGAATTGCAGAAAATATCTGCCTGGATGATGACTAATAAACTTACCCTGAATACTGATAAAACCTGTTTCATTCAGTTTGGAAACAAAGCTGCAAATGATCTGATTAACATAACGCTAAATGGATCACCAGTCACAAGACTCACAGAGGGAAAATTACTAGGTATCCACCTTGACAGTAGCCATAAGTTCCGGACACACATACAACAAATCACCAAGAAAATCTCCAAGACTGTAGGCATACTATCAAAGATAAGATACGTTCCACAAACAGCTCTCCTGGCACTGTACCATACACTCATACCCTTATCTTATATATGGAATTTGTGCATGGGGATCAACAACAACCAATCACCTAAAACCCCTCATAACCCAGCAAAAGGAAGCAGTAAGAATGATAACGAATTCCCACTCCCGCCAGCATACTCCACCAATTTTCAAAAGTCTGAATCTGCTCACCATTAAGAACATCCATACTTATTCATGTGCTTACTACATACACAGAACAATACACGCAAATATAAACCTTCCGCTCAGACTTCTCCTCACCAACTTAAACAGGACACATGACCACAACACAAGACACACATCTCTTTTTGATATACGTACCTCGTGTCCATATCACACTGTGTAAGAACTCTATGCACATAAAGGGCCCTAAAACATGGAATTCATTACCAGAAGATATTAAATTAACCCAGTCTGAAAATCAGTTTAAGACTCTTCTCAAAAGCCACTTAATCACCCTAGACTAAACACTGAACACTCAGTACACACTTACTCACCTATGTACTCCCACATCATAACTGAAACAATCACTTTGAACCTTTTATCCATTGTTGACAGGAATATAACTGAACCATTGTTTTCACAAAAAGCATTTTAGACTATATGAATATATCCTTTGTCTTATACAAATTTAATTCACTTATAATTAATAATCTACTGTTCAACTATGAAATAATTACTGTCCTACTGTACAACTATGATACAATCCTTAGTGTTAAGAAGTCTGTAAGCCAATAATGTTAAGTTGGCCCATAATGCCTAGGCATAATAGAGGCTCTCTTTGCATTGCAACCCACTATTGTAAATATAAAATCTCAATGTACTGTTTGCAAAGACATAAAATAAACAGGTTTGTAGATGAATGGTTCAGAGAACCGACATGTTGATAAATTAGACACATGTGCAACTCTTGGGTATCTTTATTGAGGAAACGTTTCGCCACACAGTGGCTTCATCAGTCCATACAAAGGAGAATCTTGAAGAACAGGAGGAGAATGAGGTAATCAGTCCCTCAACCTTGAGTCGATGTGATCAGTCCATCAATCTTGAATAGAATACGGCATATCAGCGGAGAAGCATTGAACAAATGTGACACGACCTATGACTGCTGCACCTCTCCTGCCATACGGTTTATAAGCTGCTTCTCCGCTGATATGCCGTATTCTATTCAAGATTGATGGACTGATCACATCGACTCAAGGTTGAGGGACTGATTACCTCATTCTCCTCCTGTTCTTCAAGATTCTCCTTTGTATGGACTGATGAAGCCACTGTGTGGCAAAACGTTTCCTCAATAAAGATACCCAAGAGTTGCATGTGTGTCTAATTTATCATCATAAAATAAACAGTAAATCTTCAATTTTTTGCGTGAATAAAAATTGAAAATAGAAAGCAAGAGTATTATAACAGGGGCCTGGAGACATGACTGATGAACAGAGAAAATGTTATTTTAGTGCCAGAAATGTCTGCATTGTTCATTCTGGACCCTATTTTGAAATTGACATATTTTTTAATTTGCATGAAATTGGCCAAATTGCCAATTTCTGACCACTTTACTGGGTAGTTGAAATCGGTAAATGGGAGACTTCTTGTACTCAATCAATAGAACAAATGGAGTTCTAAAGAAATAGCTATGAGTTTGGTCGACTGGAACAATGGAATTGGCCGAAAATAGGGCTCAAAGTGGGTGAAATCGCTGATGCATAAATGCCGCCGAGGTCGCTAACTTCGCTAGAGTGTAATTCCAAAAGTTTTCCATCAAATTTTGTACTTTTGGTGTCATTATTATCGGGAAAAGATTCTTTATCATTTCATGAGAAAAATAATTTTTTTTTCAAATATTTTGCGACACCAGGAGACACTTCAGGATTTGGGGTTGCGACAGTCAAAGGGTTAAATAACTGTTTTAATTATAGCTTAAGATTTATGACTTCAGCTTGTATACTTAAAAAATATAAATCTTTCACACACTATAAAATGTGAATAAAGTACTAACTTAATCCTTTGACTGTTTTGGTTGTACAGTGGACCCCCGAGTTTCGGCAGCCTCGACTTTCGCGAAATTCGACCTTCGGCGAGTTTTTTTTTAAAAATTTGGCCTCAAGTTTCGTGAAAAAACTCGTGTTTCGGCGACCGTCCGGTACCCGTCCACTGACGAACTGCAAGAGCTTCAACTGGAACAGCATCAGACCACAGCCGAGGAACTTGCTTCAGAGGAGGAGGAAGAGGGAGTGGATGAGGTGCCTTCTTCAGTGATTAAGGACATGTGTGGAATGTGGAATGAGTTGCAAAGTTTTGTTGAAAAGTATCACCCTGACCAAGCTGAAACAAGCCGTATCTGCAACATGTACAATGACAGTGTTGTGTCCCACTTCAGGGAAATCTTAAAGAAACGCCAGAAAAAGACCTCTCTGGATAGATATTTTGTGTGCCAGGGGTCCAGTGACTCTCAAGTTGTTCCCAGTGGCATTAAAAGAAGAAGAGAAGTAACCCCAGATAAGGACTTGCTACCTAAAGTCCTAATGGAAGGAGATTCTCCTTCCAAACAATAGTGTACACCTTTCTCCTATCACCTCCTCCCATCTTCCATTCACCCAGAAGTCTTCAGTAAAGGTAAGTGTAATGTTATTATTATTTATTTTAAATGCATATACTTGATTTCTGATTGTTTTCATTATGTAAATCTTTATTTAATTTGAAAAAAAAAAAATTTATTTTAATATTTTTGGGTGTCTGGAACGGATTAATTTTATTTCCATTATTTCTTATGGGGAAAATGGTTTCGAGTTTCGTGAATTTCGACCTTTGGCGGGCTCTCTGGAACGGATTAATCACGAAACTCGGGGCTCCACTGTATATGTCTTACGAGTCAATGTTTCAGACATATATATACTCAATAATTCCAGCGGCTTCAAATCAAGCATGAGAAAGCTGGTAACCCCACATGTGAGAGAATGGGTCTGTGCGGTCAGTGTGCACCATATAAAAAAAAAGTCCTGCAGCATGCAGTGCATAATGAGAAAAAAAAAACTCCGACCATTTTTTTGGATTAAAACGCCGACATTGAAGTGTATTTTTGTACAGTATTTATTGTTGTATTCTCGTTTTCATGGTCTCACATGATAAAATAGAACTCATATTACTGAAATTGAGATGATTTTGATTAGTTTCACAATGAAAACGACCTTGAAATTGAGCTCAAAGTAGCGGAAATGTTTGATTTTTACCAAAGTTCAAGAGTAAGCAAATCACGCCACACATTCAATACACGTCAACTGGGGAGTCTAATATTCTTTCACTAGTGCACTGATATTATTTATACCATTTTTACAATAATGCAGTAGTCTGCATAACAGTAAATCTTCTATTTTTTGTATGAATAAAAAATCAAAACAGAAAGCAATAGTAATAATATAAGAGGGGCCTAGAGACGTGACTAATGAACAGAGGATATGTTATTTTAGTGTCAAGAATGTCTACACTGTTTATTCTGGACTCTATTTTGAAACTGGTATATTTTTTAATTTGTGTGAAATGGGCCAAATTGCCAATTTCTGACCACTTTATTGGGTAGTTCAAATTGGTAAATGGGCGGTTTCTTGTACTCAACTGATAGAAAAAAATGAAGTTCTAAAGAAATAGCTATGAGTTTGGTCAACTGGAATAACGGAATTGGCCAAAAATAGGGCTCAAAGTCAGTGAAATCACCGATGCGTATATGTCCCGAGACCGCTAACTTCGCGGGAGTGTAATTCCGTGAGTTTTTGACCAAATTTCATACTTTTGGTGTCATTACCATTGGGAAAAGATTCTCTATCATTTCATAAGAAAAAATAACTTTTTTTTTCCAAAAATTTTTTGACATAGAATGACCGTTTCAGAAAGTGGTTTGCGGCAGTCAAAGGGTTAATAGCACTCAATAAAAAACAGTATTTCACATGAAAAAAGTTTGAAAATGATACATGAAACATACATGTTTGAAACAAAGAACATACTGCGACAGGACGGGAATTGAGCCCCATGTGACGATAGAAGTATTTCTTCTTCTTTTTCGAGTCGCCTTGCCTTGATGGGAAAGGGCTGATGTGTTTATAAAAAAAAAAAAAATAATGACAATAAATTTTAGCAAATGTTTATCTATTAATAAGACAATCTTACCCAATTCTTTTTCTGGCTGGCATGAGCCAAGAGCATTTCCTGAAGCTCTTTTCCAACACCAGATTCAAATTTCCTCACTAAGTCTTTCGTGGTCTCAAATTCTTCATCCGTCACATGTGGTCGCACCCAGTAAAGGTACCTGTGTATGGAAATGTTCAAATACTATACAAATTTATTTCAGCATAATACAATGTTTATGCAGAAATGGGTGATATTGGAGTGCGTGTGAAAGCCCATGGTTATGCTAAGCATTTCCAATGGTAAGAAAAAATTATTTTGGTTTATAGACTAGTAAATTTATAGACACTCTTCTTTACATTAGATGACATTATACGTACTCCTTTTTTTTTTTTTGCATTAGATGGCATTCAGTTCAAGAACTCAAAAGAATAATTTTGGCTAGATCACTCTGCTGCTTTTGGTGTAAAATCCTGGGGGGGGGGGAGAGAGAGAGAGAGAGAGAGAGAGAGAGAGAGAGAGAAGAGAGAGAGAGAGAGAGAGAGAGAGAGAGAGAGGAGAGAGAGAGAGAGAGAGAGAGAGAGAGAGAGAGAGAGACAGAGAGAGAGGAGACAGAGAAGAGAGAGAGAGAGAAGAAAAGAGAGAGAGGAGACAGAGAGAGAGACGAGAGAGAGAGAGAGAGAGACAGAGAGAGAGAGAGACAGAGAGAGAGAGACGAAGAGAGAGAGACAGAGAGGAGAGGACAGAGAGACAGAAGAGAGAGAGACAGAGAGAAGAGAGACAGAGAGAGAGAGAGAAGAGAGAGGAGAGAGAGAGAGAGACAGAAGAGAGAGAGAGAGAGAGCAGAGAGACAGAGAGAGATCGAGAGGAGAGAGAGGAGAGAGAGAGGAGAGAGAAGAGAAGAGATAGAGAGCAACAGAGAGATAGAGAGCAACAGAGAGACAGAGAGGAACATGAAAAGAGAACAAGAGAAGAGGGACAGAGAGCAAGAGAGAAACAGAGAGCAAAGAGAGACAGAGAGCAAGAGAAACAGAGAGCAAAGAGAGAAAGAGAAAGAGAGAGAAGACAGAGAGAGAGAGAAGACGAGAGAGAAGAGAGAAGAGAGCAAGAGAGACGAGAGCAAGAGAGAGATGAGAGAGATAGAGAGAGAGAGAGAGAGAGAGGAGAGAAGAGAGAGATAGAGAGCAGAGAGAGAAGAGAGAAGAGAGATAGAGAGCAAGAGAGAGATAGAGAGCAAGAGAGAGATAGAGAGCAAGAGAGAGAGATAGAGAGCAAGAGAGAGATAGAGAGCAAGAGAGAGATAGAGAGCAAGAGAGAGATAGAGAGCAAGAGAGAGATAGAGAGCAAGAGAGAGATAGAGAGCAAAGAGAGATAGAGAGCAAGAGAGAGATAGAGAGCAAGAGAGAGATAGAGAGAAAAGGGGAGAGATAAAGAGCAAGAGATGGGGAGCAAGAGATAGAGAGCAAGAGAGAGACAGAGAGCAAGAGATTAGAGAGCAAGAGAGAGATAGAGAGCAAGAGACAGAGAGAGAGAGAGAGAGAGAGAGAGAGAGAGAGAGAGAGAGAGAGAGAGAGAGAGAGAAAGAAAGAGAGAAAGAGAGCATGAGAGTGAGAGTGGGGAGAGAGAGCAAGAGAGAGAGAGCAAGGAGAGAGAGCAAGAGAGAGAGAGCAAGAGAGATAGAGAGCAAGAGAGAGACAGAGCAAGAGAGAGAGAGACGGGAGAGCAAGAGAGAGAGAGACAGAGAGCAAGAGATAGAGTGAGAGAGAGAGAGAGCGAGCGAGAGAGAGATAGAGAGCGAGCGAGCGAGAGAGAGAGATAGAGAGAGAGAGAGCAAGAGAAAGAGAGCAAGAGAGGCACATTTCCTACTTAAATCACTTGACCAAGAAAAGGCTGTGGACCCAGAAAAAGTTGAGCCCAAGATTGTTGAGAAGATGTGCAGACCAGCTAGCAGCACCTCTAACTCGCATCTTTCAGCACTGCCTAGTACAGTGTAAATGGCCCTCTCTATGGAAAGAGGCAAATGTAGTCCCTGTTCACAAAAAGAAGAGCAGAGCAGAAATCAGCAACTACAGACCAGTGTCACTCCTGTCAATCACTGGTAAGATCCTTGAGACAATAATCTCAAGTCAAATGACAGAGTTTTTGACTACCACTCACTACTTTGTGATCGTCAATATGGCTTCAGGAAAGGTTACTCTGCTGCTGATCTGTTGTTTTAAAACCCCTTTCCCCTATGTGGCACCAGTCACTGGATGAATCCAAAGTCAGCTGTGTGGTAGCACTGGACATTGCTGGCGCTTTCGACCGGGTGTGGCACCAGGCCTCTTAGCAAAACTTCAAGCACTGGGAATTTTCAGGCTCTACGCTATGTCTCCTCAGTGATTACCCTTTATGGTAGATCTCTAAGTGTAGTTCTCAATGGAACGGAATCAGCAAGACAAACCTATTGGGGCAAGTGTTCCACAAGGAAGCGTGCTGGGTCCATTGTTATGGAATGTCTAGTTCAATGACCATCTTCATCTCATCCCAGAATCACATGCATATGCAGAAAGACTGTACACTGACATTCACTTATCCAAGAGAAGGAATGCCAGCTGCTCTAAGCTACATCAATCACCAGCTGAGAGCTATATCAGCTTGGGGAAATAGATGGCAAGTAACATTTGCACCTGAGAAAACGCAAATGATGATCGTCTCTAGGCACCATGATGGTAATGCGGGTTTGCATTTAGTAAGGATGAATGGGAGGATGTTGGCACCTGGAAAAGAAGTTGATATCCTTGGGGTGAAATTTGACTCCAAACAAACCATGAGAACCATGTTGTAAATCTTGCAAACAAGGCAGCCAGGAAAGCTTACAGCACTTCGCCGTATCTCCCATCTGCTTGACAGTAGGGGTTGCAAGATCCTGTACAAGGCACAAGTACGCTCGCACCTTGAGTATGCTCCACTTTCTTGGTTTGCCTGCCCCCCCTCTCATCTGCGACTGCCTTGCAGAGTAGAGAACAGAGCAAGACGTCTCATCTCTCGCCTGGCCCCAAATCCTGGATAGATCTGTCATTTCAGCAGAGCCTTAACATAGGAGGGATGTGGTGGCCTTACTGTTATGTACAAGGCCAATATTGTCAAAATACCACACTTGGATCCACTTCGAGGACAGCGTAAAAACAAGCTTTTATGCCACAAGAGGGGCAGAAAGCAGCAACTTACTCTGGCTGTACCCTTCTCCAGAACTTCACTCCATCTGAGATCCTATATACCCAGAATGACTCAGTATGAAACACATTCGTACAGCAAAATGATGTCAACGAGATAAAGTCATGATCAAATGAAATGCTGGCCCACAGATGGCTCCAACTTCATCCTGTTCCCTACTTGTATGTCTCATAACAATAAAAATGCTTTCAAATGAGCTGATGTAGGTAACAGCTCTTAGCTTGCCAATAAAGTTAGTAATCCTTAACCTGTAAATACTTGTCAACAAACTAGGATCCTTTACCTTTCAAACCTGTGAAAAAAAAAAAAAAAAAAAAAAAAAAAAAAAAAAAGAGAGGAAGCGAGAGAGAGCGAGAGCGAGAGAGCGAGAGAGAGAGGGAGTGAGAGAGAGGGAGAGGGAGAGCGAGAGCAAGAGAGCGAGCGAGAGAGCGAGTGAGAGCGAGCGAGAGCGAGCAAGAGAGAGTGAGAGCGAGAGCAAGAGAAAGCAAGAGCAAGAGAAAGCGAGAGCAAGCGAGAGAGCGATAGTGAGCAAGAGCAAGAGAGAGAGAGAGGGAAGGAAAATGACCAGTCAGTTTATTTTTTCATATAACTATTGTTGATTATTTTGTATAAGTTCTGGAACTCTGGAATTCCCAGAGGGGCTCCTAATCTCAATATGTAAGGATTATCAGTGCATGACAGTAGTTTAGCCCTTTCACTGACACCAGTGTTTCTTATCCAGATCCATGTTTTAAACACAGTGAGTGCCCTCAAATATGCTAAGCTGTAAAATTTGGTCTAGACTTGAGAGAACAGATCTCTGTGGTGAGTGTGCACAGTACAGTATAAAAAAATTCCTGTCCCAAAAGATGCAGAGGTGTGAAAAGCAAACCTCTGGCCTTGACTTTGAGGTGTTTTCAAGAATGTTTTTTATAGTTTTATTGGCTGTTTCTTGGAATCATTGATAGAATGAATAAATACTACTGAAATAGAGATGATTTTGGTCAGTTTCAGGACCAAAATTAGCTTGCAATAGGGCTCAAAGTAGTGGAAATAACATGCAAGATGATTTTCCTGAGGAAGGGTAAGGCCCCACTACCCTCGGCCTGTTTTATGGGTTTTACTAGGCTTGCTTCGATTATTGGGATGCCCTAAACCTGAGGTCATCGAACTTTTTTGGGTATTACCCAAAAACAAATTTGTGTACAGTGAAATTATCCACTTGACTAAAAATTATTTGTTTGAAAAAATATAGCTTTCATAGCTTCCCTCACTTATTAAGTAATAATTTTTTGTGCAGTTTTATTTCTATCTTTATTGAACCTTCATTACTCCGAGATTTTTCTCTTTTACCCCATTTGGGGTAATTTACATCCCCGGTTTCTGACCGCTGCCCTAAACCATGACCAATCATTCCTGGTTATATTTTATTTTCCAAGAAATAGGATAAAACTTTTTTGTGATGATAAATTCAAGATGGAGGGCAAGTGTAATATAGGACATGATTAATAAACTGAGGATAGGTTGCTTTAGTGGCTGGAGCTGCAATAAAATACAACATGAGTGAAATTCATGTTGGTAAGTGCAGATGTGAACATTTTGTGTGCAAAATTTCTTATTCCTGTTAAACCACATTAAATAATTTTCCGTTTACCTCCTCTGAACAACTTCAATATTCAGTATGTAGGCAAATTTGTCCATGAAGAAAAAAAAAATGGAATCAGTGGAATCTTAACCCCTTCAGGGTCCAAGGCCAAAATCTGAAGTGGTGCTCCAGTGTCCAAGAAATTTTGAAAAAAAAAAAATTATTTTTTCTTACAGAATTAAAGAGTATATTTTTGTGAAGGTAATAAGACAAAAAAAAAAAATTCTGATCAGTACTTACCGAGATACAGTGCCAAGAAGTTTGTCCAAAATGATGTGGTGGCAGTTTTTGTAGTTTTTTCTTTTCTTTTCTAATTTTTTTCTTTTCCTACTAACATTTGGGGCCTGAGAGACCAATACTGTATATAATGTATATATATATATATATATATAAACTCACTGTATTGAACACAATAACCGCAGTAGTTATTATCATATTATTGTTTACCACTTTTATTTATTACAATAAACATGGACAAATCTTGTATAATACTAATGTTCTATCATGCATTTACATATTTACAATTACTGGACATGGTTTTAGAACTGCTGAAGCTTGTGGAAGTCCTTGAAAAAAGGCACCATGCACAGAGGTAACTTACATTCCTCACACATAAACCAAGTGTCTTTGCGTCTTTGCTGCCGGCGTTTTGTTTGTGCACAGACAATGCATCTCTTCCGAGCAAATTTCTTCTTAGTTGAGGGAAGCTGTTTATTAAATGATCACCGTCCCTCCTCAAACGCCTGGGTATATTCTGAGGAGTTCAAGGACCTTGTTGTATAGCAGGTGTTGTTACCTGGTACTTCATTATGAGTTGTCTGACAACAGACAAACAAAATTCACCATACAGTGGTCTGTTGCCAGTCTTCATTTGGTACATATTATATGCATTGAGCATTGAAATGTCCATGAGATGGAAGAAAAGTTTCATGTACCACTTGTAACTCTTACGAACACAATCAACAAAGCCAATCTGCATGTCACATTTGTCAACCAAGCGCATGTTTTGTGTATAATCAATCACTGTCACTGGTTTTCGAATACGTTCATTAGTCACTCGATCAACTTTGCCACTGTCTTGCATTTCATTACGGTGAATGGTTGTCAACAATGTGACATCTCGTTTGTCATGCCACCGTAATGCCATGATGTCACTGGCAGTAAACACCTGCACGTCATCACCACGAGCACCTGCGTTAAACCTGGGCATATGTTTACGATTAGAACGCACTGTGCCACACACATCTGTCTTGTTCACTCGCAAGAAATCACTGAGTAAAGGGCTTGTGTACCAGTTATCGGTACATAATGTATGCCCCTTACCAAGATAAGGTGCCATCATGCTTCTCACTACATCACCTGAGATACCCAATAACATCTTGGTATCTTTCAATGTTTTACTTCCCGTGTATACAACAATATCCAACACCAGGCCACTGTCACATTCACAGAGTACAAACAGTTTTATACCAAAGCATTTCCTCTTGCTCGGTATATACTGCTTGAATGACAGCCTACCTCTGAACAAAATCAAAGACTCGTCAATTACAAGATTCTTGAATGGATAAAAGTATATGCTGAACTTCTGTTTGAGATACATAAAAACATTTCTAATCTTGTATAACCTGTCACTTCTGTCAGGCGGTTTTTGTCAGAGAAGTGCAACATACGTAACAGTAAGATAAACCTGTTCACTGGGATGATTTCACTGAAGGATGGGGTACAAATTAGCCAATCTGTGGACCAGTATGCTTTTATATTATGCTTATAGACATGAGGCATAAGCATTATTGTTGCAAAAAGCAAATACATTTCTGCGGTAGTCGTCTCTTTCCACCGGTGTAGTCTTGACTGTGGTGATATCATCGTATTTGCCATGGTGTACTCAAAATACTTGTTACTTTCCCTGACAATAATTTCCATCAAGGGCTGGTCAAAGAATATTTCAAAAAATTCCAGTTCATTGGCTGTGGTTACAAGGGGACAAGTAGGTAGAATCCCACTTTGAATCATCAAATTGGTGGGGATTGGGAACAAAATTGGGATCTTGCTGCCAATCCCAGATACGGTTTGCTGGTGGATACTGGACATCATAGGCTGGTTGTGTGGGTGGTTGAGGTTGTGGTGGGTTGGTGGCTGACGCTCTGCTTTGTCCTTGAACTGAGGAGTCAGCAGCATGGGTCCCAGCCTGGGCTGGTGAGTCACGCATGGCCGTGGCACTACCATCACCACTACCACCATCTACTGATGCCTGTGGTCTATCCATGCCAAGTGTAGCCACATCATCCTCACTATCACTGTCTATACCTGGGGTAGGACCACGGGATGTACTCCGGGATGTACTCTGTCCCCTGGGCACTGCATAGGGTACACTACCCGAGCGCATGCGGCGGCGTACATACCGACGCTTCACTGGTGAATATGTTTCCTCACTATCACTACTCGAATGATCGTCAAGAGCAATAAAATCACAATCCACGTCACTATCATCATTACTGAAGTCAGAGGCCTGGCCACATGAAAATATTAGTTTTCTCTTGCATTGAGGTACAACTGACCGTGACTAAGGAGTGCCCACACCAGAGGTAAAAGGTTGAGGATCATCAGGGTTTTCTGCACTATTATCGATATCCTGGTCATTCCTTTTGGTCATTAACTGATCAAAGCCAAAGAATTCGTCTTCATTTCCACTTCCATCAGTGTCAGAACTATCAGAAAGGAAGAGGAGAGTCCCAATTTTCCTTGGAGTGAGCGTTGCCTTGCGACGAGGCATGGTGAACAAAGGTAACTGAGCCGGCGTTCCCACAATGCCATGCAGGCGCCTAGATTTTTTGTTTATGGCGCACACCCACCACGCAGACCCATTCTCTCACATGTAGGCCTATGAGCGTTTTCACACTAAATTTGACGGAGCTAGAATTTTGGCATAGATCTACGGTTTGGACCCTGAACGTGAAGCCGTAGATCTATGGGACGGACCCTGAAAGGGTTAAATTGCTTACTGGTGGGATACTTCTATGTCCTATTTAATAACTGGTTTTCCTGACTTCACTCAGGTTGAAGGTGTCCCTCAGGGCTGCATTCTTAGCACCACCCTTTTCCTGCTTGCTACTAATGACTTTGCCTTTATTCTCACTTTTGATATTTTGTTTTCTCTTTATGTTGATGATTTTGCCACAGCCTGTAAAAGTGCCAGTTTTTTTTTTTTTTTTTACTCTTTTTAATTTAGACTTTGTTGAATTTTATGTAAAACTGGTCAAATTACTGACTTCTGTTCACTTTATAGGATAGTTCTGATACTTGAATGGGTGGTGTATTGTGCTCAATTGATAAAACAGAAAGCATACTAGTAAAATAGTTATAAATTGGGTTAAATTTAGCAATGGAACTGGCTTAAAATAAGAATCAAAGTGGGCAAAATTGCCATTGCAAAAACTGTGCCTAGATGGCAAAATTTGCACATGCGTAATTCCATAAATTTTCCAACAAATTTTATATTTTTGGTGTTTTTACCTTCAGAAAATTATTCTCTACCACTTCATGGAAAAAATGAGTTTGTAAAGACTGGAAGTAGGTCTGGTGATGGGATCACTCCACCTACCCGTCTAATGATGGGATCACTCCACCTACCTGTCTAGTGATAGGATGACTTCACCTACCTGTCCAATGTTTGCTGTAATGGAGGAACGGGTAAATTTGGCAAATCCTCATCATACTGGAAAGTCCTTTCATCTCCACTTGAAAAGTATACACTTGTAGGCATTGAATTTTTGGACGGAGTTAATTCTGAGCTCTGTAAAAAGACGGTTATTAATTTGATTGAGACATTTTAACAAAAGCAACTGAATAACAATACATGATCATGTAACTTGTATCTTAACAATGTTTTTTTTTAATTTCTGCCAATACAGTAGGACCCCCATATCCACGGATTTGGTATCCATGGTTATGGTTATCCATGCATTACCGTGGCCCAAAAATAATCCTTAAATTTGTTTAATAATGGCCCAAAGAGCAAAAGCAGTGATGCTGGCAGTTCTTCAAAGCCTAAGAGAAGCTGTGAAATGCTTCCCATCAATGAAAAAGTGCCAATTCTAGACTTATTTTGCATAATTTATCAATTAAACTTTTTCATGGGTACATATGCAAATTAAGAGCGACTTATACAGAATTCGCTACTATCCATGGCAGTTCTTGGAATGCATACCCTGCGGATACGGGGGTCCTACTGTACAGGCTCTCCTCATTTAGTAACATACTCGTTTACCGACGATTCGGACTTATGACAGGCTCTCTGACCAGTATCCATACTTAAATAATGTATATTAGAGCTGATTTTCTACATTCTGTTTATTACAATACACAGTACACTACTGTATGAACTTTCAAAAATATACTAAAAATGTTATAAATGGTGCAAAGGTGACATTAAAACAATATCAAAGACGGTTGACACAAACTACCATTACAGTATGCTCCTCACTTAGCAACAAATTCGTTTACCAACGTGGTCTAAGGAACAGGAACTCCTTCGTTAAGTGAGGAGAGGCTGTACTTTGTATCAGAGCCACTGGCAAAACTATGAGGGCTTAGTTACAATGTAAATTTGTCCAAAATCCCATACATACTATGGGCTTTCAAATTATTGTCTGTCTGTATATGAATTTTTAATAAATGTTGTTTTTGTTATTTTTTAACAGAATGGCCATCTCCCATGCAGACAGGGTCACCCAAAATTTTTTCTTTATATATTTAGTAATTTATACAGAAGAAGGGATTACTAGCCCCCTGTTCCTGGTATTTTAGACACCTCTTACAACACTATGGCTTATGGAGGAAGGATTATTCTCCACCTCCCCATGGAGAATTATTATTATTATTAAACACATCAGCCATCTCCCACCAAGGCAGGGTGACTTGAAAAAGAAGAAACACTTTCATCATCACTCATTCCATCATTGTCTTGCCAGAGGCATGTCAAAACTACAATTCAAAAACTATTATTATTATTATTATTATTATTATTATATTATTATAAAGAAAATGTTAGGAGATAGTTCATCAAAGTTCTGAGAAGCCATAAGGCTTTCATGTACATATTTATCACCAGAATATTCATAAGTATTATGATGATAAAATATATATATGCCTCCAAACAACTTCAAATCCTTAAAATTTAACTGCATACAATTTCATATGGCCTAAAATTCAATATACTGAATACGATATACAAAAAACCATACGTGACCTATATTCTGCAATAAAATTTGTATATGTAATGAAATTACCCACTAGTACATTTTTTTTTATTTTTTTTATTAACACATTAGTCTTTTCTCACCAAGGCCGTGTGACCCAAAAAAGAAGCAACACTTTCATCATCATTCACTCCATCACTGTCTTGCCAGAGGAGTGCATACACTACAGTTAAAAACTGCAACATATCTCCACCCCTCCTTCAGAGTGCAGACACTGTACTTCCCACCTCCAGGACTCAAGTCTGTACATATATACACTTACAATTAGGCACAAGGTGGCAGTGAGTTAGACCTGCCTAGGATTTTTGTGCATAGGTTTGAATTTATTTAATAATAATGACTTGCATTTCAATGTGAACTTACAACATTCATTCTGCAAGTTGTCTTGGTAGGGAGAAGTTTGAGAAATTATATCACCATGAAGACAATATCAAGATTTCAGTCAAGTCAAGAGAGGATGCAAGAAGAGAAGTCACTCATTCCCTGTAAAAATATATATATATATATATATACAGCATGAATAAACAAATAAGTAATACACATATATAAAGCTAAGGGTAAAGGACAATAGCAGAATATTTAACTGAATTACAGCATACAATACAACTTCATTTCTTTCCTGCAGTACAGGAGGGTGAAAGCAAAAATTGCTGTAAAGTGAAGCATAGCCTTTTATTGCTTTTAAATGCATATAACAGCATGATAATATGTTTACACTACTATATTAAGTGAGCAATAGAGCTAGCTCTAAAAAAAATGCACATACAGTACACACACATTACTTACATTAAAATATTTCCATCCTTAGCTTAGTGGTGAATATATTTATTGCAGTAAGTTTGTATATTTATTGTAGTAATATGTTTATTGTAGTAAGTTTGGCAGTTTGGAGGGATGTGTTGTGTATCTTTATACGTATATGCTTCTAAACTGTTGTATTCTGAGCACCTCTGCAAAAACAGTGATAATGTGTGAGTGAGGTGAAAGTGTTGAATGATGATGAAAGTATTTTCTTTTTGGGGATTTTCTTTCTTTTTGGGTCACCCTGCCTCGGTGGGAGATGGCAGACTTGTTGAAAAAAAAAAAAAAAAAAAATCTAAATAAATGAAGAATGGGTATAATTGAAAACTGTTGCATTAGCAAAATGCTGTAGAGCGAAGCGCTGTAAAGCAGGGTCTACCTATATCTTAGAGAGAACGACAACTAAGTTAGACTTTTTTGTGAATTAGATGTTGAATGTGGGTGTTGAAGTTCAGTTACCTTCAAGACTTTTCCCTTGTTTCTTCTTGTAAAATAAAACTTCTTTCCTCTTTGTCCAAAATATAACTGTTTCCATTGCAAAACTTAATTAACCCGTAAACGGTCCAAACGTATATATACGTTTTTGCCGCTAGTGCCCCAAACGTATATATACGTTTTATGTGTTATACATTTTACATTGCCATGATAAGCCTGAGTCGCCTAGACATGAGAGAATGGGTGTGAGCACTCGCTGTGCGCCATATTAAAATAATTGGGGATGCCTGGGTACCATATGCACTTTTTTCCTATTAAAAAACAGCAATGTTTTTTTTTCTCAAAAAAGTTGGGGCAGTACGGTAGTGAACGTATATATACGTTTGGACTGTTTATGGGTTAAAGAAGTTATACAGTTTAACCTCGATATACGACCAGCTCCCTGCTCGAACGAAGCTCAGCACTCGACCAAACAAATACGCCTGTCAGAACCTCGCTGTAAACTGTTTTATGTTTCTTCGCCTTTTTTTTTTTTTTTTTTTTGTATAGATAAGTCACCATGGGGCCTACAATGATTAGTGACAACAACCAACCAAACAGAAAATTAGCTGGGAAGAACTGTTCAATGATCAAACAAAGCGGCACTCAAACAGCCATCTGGAATGGATTAAGGTCACATACCAAGGTTCCACTGTATGAGCAAAAACATTCTTACTTTGCCTTTTATCAGCCGTTTCCCAAAGAAAAAGAAACACTTCCATCATCACTCACTCCATCACTGTCTTGCCAGGTGCACGCCTACACTTCAGGCGAGTACAAATAAGAAGCAGATGTAGGATCAAGCCTTCAATATGTTTAATGCTGAATGACCCAAATGGGCTTAGTGCTTAATATAAATTAAATAAACAACAATCACCTAAATAAACAATTTCCCGTGGAATGAATAACACTGTTGTTAATGATACAACACATTAGTGGACTTTCGCACCTGGAAAAAAAAAAAGAGTATATGACACATAACAGTTAATACTGAGTGTATGGGGTTTGACCTGCTGACACTGTTCACCTAGCAATAAGTAGATACCTGGGTATTAGTCACCTTACACTTGCTGTCACTTTTCACCTAGCAGTAAGTAGGTACCTGGGTTTTATTCACCTTAAACTTGCTGTCACTGTTCACCTAGCAATAAGTAGATACCTGGGTATTAGTCACCTTACACTTGCTGTCACTTTTCACCTAGCAGTAAGTAGGTACCTGGGGTATTAGTCACCTTATACTTGCTGTCACTTTTCACCTAGCAGTAAGTTGGTACCTGGGTATTAGTCACCTTACACTTGCTGTCACTTTTCACCTAGCAATAAGCAGGCACCTGAGTGTTAGTCACCAGGTATGGGTTGCACCTTGGGAACAAAAATTACCGAACCACAATAAAAATAAGCCAGGATAACCCTGACATTACTGGGTTATCCTAGGTGGGTAACCTTGACTTTACTGGGTTATCCTAGGTGGATAACATTGACATTACTGGGTTATCCTAGGTGGATAACCTTGACTTTACTGGGTTATCCTAGGTGGATAACATTGACATTACTGGGTTATCCTAGGTGGATAACCTTGACTTTACTGGTTATCCTAGGTGGATAACATTGACATTACTGGGTTATCCTAGGTGGATAACCTTGACTTTACTGGGTTATCCTAGGTGGATAACACTGACATTACTGGGTTATCCTAGGTGGATAACCTTCACCTGGGTTATCTTAGGTGGATAACCCTTCACCTGGGTTATCCTAGCTGGATAACCTTCACCTGGGTTAATTATCCTAACAAAATCTTACCTTATCTTAACGTATATTAAAAAAATACCTAAGTTACGTAACAAAAATTATACAACTCAAATTTTGGGGGGTTTTAGGTCATAATTTATCACCATTATAAGTTATAACGACAATGTAGTTAACGAAATAACGTAGAAATATAACAATTTTAACGTAAATGAATATAATTTCCACTGGGCAGTACCCCAATGGAAATACAAAAAAGCCACTTTTTGACTTTTTTTTGGAGCTATCTTAGTTAATTTACTGGTAATTACTATATAAGATAACTGCAGTTATGTGTATCTGTACTTAAATACACTTAATGACTTACTTCATTACTTAATAAGTTACGTGATAATTTAGACTTGGATTTTTCTTGGCCAAATATCTATGTAAACACTTTGAACTGGGGTTTATATGTTGATATCACTTGTGTTATGTTAAAACTGGTTTATATATGTCCTCTTGTGATAATGGTAAAGAAGATGTGATAAAAATGAGAGATAAAGATAAGCCAGGACAGACCTTGGACCTGCTGCTCTGGTTGTTCCTCTTCTCCCCCTCATACTTCCTCTTTTTGTCTTATTTTTCTTCTCCTTTTCTTGTTTACTATTATTATTATTATTACTATTATTATTATTATTATTATTATTATTATTATTACTATATTATTATTATTATTATTATTATTATTATTATTATTATTATTATTATTATTATTATTATTATTATTAATTATTCTACTCTTATTTTCCTTATTATTATTATTACTATTATATTTTTATTATATATTCTACTTCTGCTCTTATTTTCCTTCTTCTTCTTCTTCTTATTATTATTATTGTAGTTTCTGCAGGGAGTAGGATGGTAGACAGCAACCACCCAGGGAGGTACTACCATCCTGTGATGACGCACTGACTTTCTTGGGTTATCCTGGGTGGCTAACCCTCCGGGGTTAAAAATCCGAACGAAATCTTATCTTATCTTATCTTATCTTACTACCGTCCTGTGGTAGTAGGATGGTAGACAGCAACCACCCAGGGAGGTACTACCGTCCTGTGGTAGTAGGGTTTGGGAGACAGCAACCACCCAGGGAGGTACTACCATCCTGTGGTAGTAGGTTGGTAGACAGCAACCACCCAGGGAGGTACTACCGTCCTGTGGTAGTAGGTTGGTAGACAGCAACCACCCAGGGAGGTACTACCGTCCTGTGGTAGTAGGTTGGTAGACAGCAACCACCCAGGGAGGTACTACCGTCCTGTGGTAGTAGGATGGTAGACAGCAACCACCCAGGGAGGTACTACCATCCTGTGATAGTAGGTTGGTAGACAGCAACCACCCAGGGAGGTACTACCGTCCTGTGGTAGTAGGATGGTAGACAGCAACCACCCAGGGAGGTACTACCATCCTGTGATAGTAGGTTGGTAGACAGCAACCACCCAGGGAGGTACTACCGTCCTGTGGTAGTAGGATGGTAGACAACAACCACCCAGGGAGGTACTACCGTCCTGTGGTAGTAGGATGGTAGACAGCAACCACCCAGGGAGGTACTACCGTCCTGTGATAGTAGGTTGGTAGACAGCAACCACCCAGGGAGGTACTACCGTCCTGTGATAGTAGGTTGGTAGACAGCAACCACCCAGGGAGGTACTACCATCCTGTGGTAGTAGGTTGGTAGACAGCAACCACCCAGGGAGGTACTACCGTCCTGTGGTAGTAGGTTGGTAGACAGCAACCACCCAGGGAGGTACTACCGTCCTGTGGTAGTAGGATGGTAGACAGCAACCACCCAGGGAGGTACTACCGTCCTGTGATAGTAGGTTGGTAGACAGCAACCACCCAGGGAGGTACTACCATCCTGTGGTAGTAGGATGGTAGACAGCAACCACCCAGGGAGGTACTACCGTCCTGTGGTAGTAGGATGGTAGACAGCAACCACCCAGGGAGGTACTACCGTCCTGTGGTAGTAGGTTGGTAGACAGCAACCACCCAGGGAGGTACTACCGTCCTGTGGTAGTAGGCTGGTAGACAGCAACCACCCAGGGAGGTACTACCGTCCTGTGGCAGTAGGATGGTAGACAGCAACCACCCAGGGAGGTACTACCGTCCTGTGGTAGTAGGATGGTAGACAGCAACCACCCAGGGAGGTACTACCGTCCTGTGGTAGTAGGATGGTAGACAACAACCACCCAGGGAGGTACTACCGTCCTGTGGTAGTAGGTTGGTAGACAGCAACCACCCAGGGAGGTACTACCATCCTGTGGTAGTAGGATGGTAGACAGCAACCACCCAGGGAGGTACTACCGTCCTGTGGTAGTAGGATGGTAGACAGCAACCACCCAGGGAGGTACTACCGTCCTGTGGTAGTAGGTTGGTAGACAGCAACCACCCAGGGAGGTACCTACCGTCTGTGTAGTAGGCTGGTAGACAGCAACCACCCAGGGAGGTACTACACGTCCTGTGGCAGTAGGATGGTAGACAGCAACCAACCCAGGGAGGTACTACCGTCCTGTGGTAGTAGGATGGTAGACAGCAACCACCCAGGGAGGTACTACCGTCCTGTGGTAGTAGGATGGTAGACAACAACCACCCAGGGAGGTACTACCGTCCTGTGGTAGTAGGTTGGTAACAGCAACCACCCAGGGAGGTACTACCGTCCTGTGGCTAGTAGGATGGTAGACACAACCACCCAGGAGGTACTACCGTCCTGTGGTAGTAGGATGGTAGACAACAACCACCCAGGGAGGTACTACCGTCCTGTGGTAGTAGGATGGTAGACAGCAACCACCCAGGGAGGTACTACCGTCCTGTGATAGTAGGTTGGTAGACAGCAACCACCCAGGGAGGTACTACCGTCCTGTGGTAGTAGGATGGTAGACAGCAACCACCCAGGGAGGTACTACCGTCCTGTGATAGTAGGTGGTAGACAGCAACCACCCAGGGAGGTACTACCGTCCTGTGTATAGTAGGATGGTAGACAGCAACCACCCAGGGAGGTACTACCGTCCTGTGGCAGTAGGATGGTAGACAGCAACCACCCAGGGAGGTACTACCGTCCTGTGGTAGTAGGTTGGTAGACAGCAACCACCCAGGGAGGTACTACCGTCCTGTGGCAGTAGGATGGTAGACAGCAACCACCCAGGGAGGTACTACCGTCCTATGGTAGTAGGTTGGTAGACAGCAACCACCCAGGGAGGTACTACCGTCCTGTGGTAGTAGGTTGGTAGACAGCAACCACCCAGGGAGGTACTACCGATCCTGCCAGGTGACGGTGGACACACAAACCTGTATTGTTACATGATGGTAGGATTGCTAGGTGTCTTTTTTTCTGTTCAGTAAACACGCTGAATAACAGGTAGATCTTGCATTCCTACTTACACAGGTCCACTCACAGGCTCGCACTGCATTGTGGAAATGCATTAGCGATGTAATATATATAAAAGTAAGAACACAGATAGTAATCTATTTTGTTGACAAGTAGAATATGGACCCTGGTCGCAAAAAATGTCCCCCATCGATACCTAACCACTGTTATATCCACAAGTTGCTCTGGACCTATTAATTAATGAAATAACACCAGGAATACCGAAATACTAAACTTGTGGACTATAGATTTATAAAGAAAAGTATTTACACCAGTATATAACGGAAATAATCGTAATACATAACAACTCACCACTTTGACTGGATGGTGTCATACTCAAAACCTCACTGTCTATATAGAAATAACCACCAGGCCAGGTACTACAAACTATTGAGGTTCCTGAGCTGTCAGTCTAGTCGCCCTATATCGTCAAGTTATGCAGGAATTGACACAACCAACCAATACTACCTCCTATTTGAGAGGTGGTCAACCAATTTAACCTCTAGAGCATGAATATCCTCACATATTAATTAACATCTAACTAGCCATATCCAACAACATGGCGATCACTCCCCCGCTGCAGGTTTCCATTTCGATATCAACTTCTTTAAATACAAATAGGGCATATTTACCATGAAATACCGTATTCCGGAAAATTATACAGTATTTATCCCCCAGGCAGAAATGTACACTACTCTGTTTTCTTTTTCTAATATTCTTGTCTTTGTATTCCTCTTACTCCATGGGGAAGTGAAGAATTCTTCCTCCAAGAGCATGCGTGTCGTAGAGGCGACTAAAATGGCGGGACAATGGGCTAGTAACCCCTTCTCCTGTAAATACTGCTAAAAAGAGGAAGAAGCGGCTTCGGAAAAAATCTAAATATTTTTCCTTGAACCCTTTTATCCAAAAAAAGAGTGTTTTAATCATGGAGTGACCGGATATAATATTTAAAATAAAAAAATTATATAATATTAAAATATTTTATATATTTATATAATATATATTTAAAAAATATATATAATATATTTTTAATAATTTATATATTTATATATATATATAAAATTTTTTTTTTTTTTATTACACACTGGCCGTTTTCCCCCCAAGGGGCGGGTGGCCCGAAAAAAAAAAAAAAACTTAAAATCTTTCCCTTTCCATCACCTGTTTGCCAAATCTTTACCTACAGTTTTTAAACTGAAACTTAACACCCCCCCAGAGGCAGGCCTGTACTCCCATCTCCAGCCCAAAGTCCCCTGCCGGTTTCCCTAATCCCTTCAAAAAAGTTATTTGCTACCTCCAACACACGCAAGTATTAAACCATTTGTCTCCATTCATCCTACAAACCCGCTCACGCATCCTGCTAAGTCCAACCCCCTCCCACAAAACCCCTTTTTTAACCCCCTCCCCAACCTTCCTAGGCCCACCCCTCCCCGCCTTCCTTCCACACAGATGTCACCTTAAGTCATTCTGTTTCGCCCATTCCCCTCTCATTGCCCGAACCCCCTCAAAAACCCTTTCCTCAGCCCCGGGACAACTTTTTGGGAAAATCCCCACCCCCCCAAACTTCCAAACTACGAATTTTCTGCATAATTCAAACCCACTTTCCCTCAGACAGACATCTCCACTGCCTCCACCTTTTCCCCTTTCAACATTCATCACCCACCTACACCCATATAAAGCGTTGGAAAACTATACTCCTACATTCCCCTCTTTGCCTCCAAGGACAAATTCTTTGTCTCCACAGTCCTAATGCACCCCCACTCTTTTCCCTCATCAATTTTTATATTCACCTCATCTTTCATTTAACCCATCCCTGACACGTCCCCCCCAAATTCGAATACGTTCACCTCCCCATACTCTCTTCCAACTGATATTTAATCTTTTATCACCTAAACTTTTTGTTTTCCCTCATAACCTTACTCTTTCCTGTATTCACCTTTAATTTTCTTCTTTTGCACACCCTACCAAATTCATCCACCAATCTCTGCAACTTCTCTTCAGAATCTCCCAAGAGCACAGTGTCATCACAAAGACACTGTGACAACTCCCATTTGGGGTTGTGATTCTTTATCTTTTAAAACCTCCACGCCTCTTGCCAAGACCCTCGAAATTTACTTCTCTTACAACCCCATCTATAAATA